CAGAGACACCAAAGTGGCCGCAAAATGTGGCAAAAAATAAAATATACGAGAATGTATGTATATCTATGTAGTTTATGTCTGTTGAATGCCACATTACTGAGGCAGAACTTTGGTTGCCCTTCAAAGTGCCCGAAAATATTCTCCGGAAATACTCTTTTGGGAATGGAATGAAATATCTAATGAAAGAAAATTTGAAAGCTAAATGAAACTTAAAAATAAATAAAAAAAAGGAATGAAATTTTATTGGGAATTCCCTCGTAATTTCATTCAACAATCTTTTGTTAGCCAGGGCTTAGATTCAGAAGTGAAACAGTGGTCGAAAAAGGATATTTATATATTAAGATTGCAATTTTTGTTATGGATTATGTCGTTTTAAATTGAAACTAAAACCTGCCGTTGATCTTAAAGGGAAAATATTACAAATTGCGACTGTTCGTTCTTTTGAAGAATTTTCATCTAGTCAAGCTTGCCAAAGACTTTAAGATCACTTGAAAATCATATATTCTGGTGACAAATACCCAATTAAATGCAGTAATTTATTCCTTTCAGCAGCTGCGCAAAATCCCAACTAATTGAAGATTACACCAAATGATTATAATAATCAGTTATAGCCACATAATGCCTTACTCTCTTTGGCCAGAGGACATAAACCAAATAAACACTTGCCAAAGGCGGACCCCAAGCAATTAATTTCAATGGGGTCCCCACGCAAAAGAAAAGCACAGAAAATGTCATAAAGCATAAACCACACACACACAGACAGAACCGCAAGAATAAAAGAGTCTCTCGGCCAGCCCCTTGCATCATCATTGGCCATCAGACGCAATAAAAAAGTTGGCAACTTGCGGCATGTGGCATGAACGAAACGAACCCCCGCCTATATGTGTCTTTGTATGTATAATCATTAGTTTGTGCCGCGAATCTGTGTACAACGTCGTCATGGGTTTTATTTTTAGGTTTCTGTTTAGCAGCCGACTTGTCTCGCCTTTCGATTGGTTTCGCTGCCAAAAGTATTTAGACACTTCGGTGGCTATTTGCATTATTGGCACAGTTTCGGTGCGGTGCGGTTCAGTAGGCCAACAACCATCTGGCCATGTCTGGGTTGCCTGCCCCTGCCCCTGCCCCCAAGCCCTGTCTATGGTTTACCTTTTTTTCTGCTTTTTATATCGCATAAAACACACACAATTTGTCATGGGTACAATCTATTAGGTGGAGGTCCCCTCCACCATTCGCCGACCACCATTAATCTCTGGGGCTCTCTGGGGCTCTCCCTGATAATTTGTTGATTGTTTGCACATTGACAATTTCCATGGTACCCCAGAGAGAGAGAGAGAGAGACCCAAGACGGGAGAGACTGGAGCAAAGTGCAAATCATGGAGATTAGTTTACCTCAAATATTCACACGTCTCAGGGCCAGAGATCTCAATGGATCCGTGGCAGGCCTATACAGATATTTGGTTTAAGTCAACAACAAACAGGCCCCCAGACATAGACACATTTCCCACTTTCACTAATTGTCAATTCTGTGGCTCGATCGGAAAAAGACAAAACCGCACACTGGAAACTGGAACAAAACGAACTGAACGTGCCCCCCCTCCCCGCACCAACTTCACAGACAGCAGAGAAAAAGAAAGAGTGTGAAAGGGAGAGGGGGGCTACCAGAGATAAGTTGAGCAAACGATCGTTTTGCTTGACGCCCTCGCAAGCGGACAAGATATTTATCATAATGCATTTCCATTTATGGAAATTCTTCGTTGAACAGAATGCACTCAATGGAAACAATCAATTGAGGGGGGGGGAGATCATTGAACTGATCCACTGCTGATTGAATTGCATTCTTCTTAAGTTAAGAGTTAAGAGTTTTCATCGGATAGAGTTCGTTTGCATTGAGAAGAAATTAACTAGCTGCTGCAAAGATCACTCATAGATCCACTGCTCTATTATATGTAAATTCAAAGTATATAGTATATAGTATAGTACCCATTTGATTAATACTCACTCACTCCCCCCCCTTAACCACAATTTTCGTGGGATTTCATTTAAATGTAAAACACTCATTCAGTGATATGAGATCATGTCATTTTCTCTTGATGACTCATGTGGCTGGAGAGCAGAGCATGTCAAGCAATTAGGAGAATCCCATTAATCAATAAAAGACAACCGAATTCCGGAATGAAACAACCAAACCAAAATCGAGATATGAACTGTCAGACTACAAATTGAGTTCCATCCTCCGCTTCCAGCCCACCCTTCTTGATGAGCGATGAGTGAGACGTGAGCCTGCTGTCTCGTCAAAGTTCTCCCAGCTTCTCCAGATCTTCCAGTTGTCCTCCCCCCTTTATCTAGCTGTTTGCTTGAGATAGAAACGAGATCAGCGAGGGTGTCTGCTATGGCCATTCCGGACAAACATGGGGTAGGAAAAAACAAACACCCATATGACATATGAAAATATGTCAAAAAGTTTCTACGCAAATGACAAATATTCAGATGAGGCGAAGGCCTTATGGTAGATGAGAGAAAAAAAACGTCAGATTGGTGTAGATCGGCATACATATGTATGTACATACATATATGCAAATTGCCCGATCGTGGGTGGAGACAACACTCCAAAGACAGGAGACGGAGGTGAGGACTGCCACATATTTGCGATTGGCGTTGCCTGAAAAAGAAGTTCAACAACGAGGAAAAAAACAGACAAATTCTTGCAACCTATTAAAGATTATTGGCCTGGTGCGAAGTCAGCAACGCCCACGAGGCACGCCCATTTGTGGCAAGGCGGGAGCATTCAAGTGTTGCACAACAAAGTGTGAAGAACGATCACAATAACGAGGCAGGAATACCCTAACAAAAACTGAAGTTGCTTGTGACAATCCACAATCTCAGTTTCAGTCTCTTGTAATTTAGCAATATGATGGGTCTTTCTTGAATAGAAGGAAGGATATGAAGGATCTACTACCAAACATACATACTAAACTAAGGAGCCATAATCTCTAAAAAAATATATTCAGTTCGCTCCATTTCCCAAGTTCAACATTCAACATGAACATGCCACCCAAAAAAGTTAGAGTAAACGATGGGTCTCCTCATAATTCTTTGGAAAAAGGGTAAAACACATTTTGTCAGCCTGACTGATTGACGGTAGCGTTGAAAGCAGTTGTCCATCAACAGTCTCAGCCACAACACCAGAGAACTAGGAGGCGAGAGACGAGAGACGAGAGCCGAGAACATAGGGGGGCAGAAGTCCGGACTTAGAACTGAGAAATTGAAATGCAAATGCACATATGCAGATCTTCTGGTTCTCTTCTTGGGCTCATGGCCACTTGACAGAGATCATTAATAAGATTTATGCGCTATTAGCAGAACCAGCCAGGGGCCATAAATAAGATGCGACGAGAGACAGAACAGAACGGAACCGAACCGAACCCCAGAACGGCAGCAAAAACACAAACGGCAATGAGCAGAGCAAGGCGGCAACGAGATGCAAACCTGTTGACAGGCTAACACATATCTGGAGCTTTCAACTCATACGAAAGCTGAATCATGCATCATACTACCGCAAATGAAAGAAAGCTTTTGATAGAAGGAATTAAAAACCAAGAAAGTGCACTGCCAACAGAACAAAAATAACGAAAAGTTACACCAACAGGAAACTACGCCAACAAAAAACTAGACCAAGAAATTTTAACATGAAACACCAACACGAGAAAGACCCACCAACAAAAAGCTACACCAACAAAGAACTGAACCAACAATAAAAAATAAAATAACCCAGCCTCACAAACACACCTCACATCTAGCAACAAGAAACTCCAGTGAAAAACACCAACAAACAGTTACACCAACACTCAAGCCACCAAAAGCAAAAGGAATCAAACAAAAAGCTTCGCACCAGAAAGAACATCCAACTAACAAACTAAAGACAGCCCCCATTCCATGGGCTGACGTGTTACGGCGATAAGCATTCTTGTAATTGGACTTTAATAGCCACAGCGACATGAGAAGTAGAAGACAGGAAAAGAGTGAGCGCACAAGTGAGAAAGACCGAGAAGGAAAGAGGTAACCAGCGAGAGAGTAAGACAGGAGAAGATCATGAGCACTCTCACGTAACTGTAACAATATCCGATATTCTCATTTCTATTTATAAATTGTAAGAAATGCAACAAATTAAAAACGAAAATCGAAAGCAATTTCCATTTTTGATGTCAGCCAACATGAATCATTTGCAGCACGAGATTGATAAGCAAGTATAAATAAATATTAATAAGTGGTGCCAAAATAATGATTTATCGTTGACAGGTTTATCAGAAAGCTAAGAGGCAAAGAGGATCCAATTAAAACCTATAATAACTCTATATTTAAAATAAACTCTTATGTATATATTTTTTGTGTTTGGTTTAATATTTGGATTATTTTATTACATCTTCAAAAGACCTGTCTCTGATCAACATTTGCCTTAAGGTGGGTTTCCCCGTTGCAGATCTTTCACTTGCAATTACATACTAAAAATTGTAACGATTCGATCATTGGGATTCTTGAAATATTTGCAGCAATCTCTTTGGCTTGTGAAGATAATTTAAGAACAAATTAAATTCACTTTTCTATGAACAGAACTTATTCAGTTTAGTAATTGCTGCAGAATAATATCTGAGTCATCCGATTTGCATCCAGCTTAAGGCCCTCAATGAAGCTGCGGATCCAATATCGTTTTTGTTGGAATTCGACCATAAACACCCAATGATTCACGCACTTTAAGAGAATTATCAAAGAGAGTGAAACAGAAGTGCCAAGTTTTATAAACGTTAAGGAGTGCAGTTTGCATGGGGAAAAGAAAGCAAATCATTTACACAGAGAGGCAGAGAGAGAAAGAGAGCAAACGAGAAACAGCAGCGATCGCGTGCGATTGGGAGCAATTCGGAGAGAGAGAGAGAGAGAGGCCATTTGGGGAGCTTTGGGGATATAGGCTGCTGCGAACCGGCAGACCGTGTTGAGTGTGCCGGCAACAGTTAGAGCGTCGACATCATCATTTTTGTGTCGTATCGTAGCTGATCGGATCGAGCAAGCGCGTCGCCTTGTTTTCAGTGTTCCTTGTTAAAAAAATCTCCAATAAAAAAAAATCTCAAAATACCATTAAAAAAGTGTATCAACTTCGAAATATATGGCAGTGAATAAGGTGCACAAAATTCTGATTATTTTTCCGCAACAGAAAACCAATCAAAGAAAGCTATAATTCCCTGTTAATTTGATGTGCGAAATAGTTCAGTGTGACATAATATTCAGTCAATTTAACAACTGATTGTAAATTTTCTTCAGCAAATAGAAAAACGGAAAAACGTGTTTTAATAAATACAACAATTTATAGTGCAAAAATATGTGTGAACAAAATTATAATAATATCGAAAGCAACACAAATAAAACGAATTAGCTAGGAAAATTAGTGTAAACATTCGTAATTCTGTTAGAAAAGGATATTAAGGATTATTAAGGATATTTGCATATCAGAATAATACCATTTTCTTGCTTTTAATTTTTTATTTGCAACAATATTCACAAAAAGCATGCCATTTTCTTTGTTTGAATGGACCTCACAAATTATAAAAACTTATTCCAAGAACACGTCATTTTCCACTCATATCTTACTTTTTTACATTTTTCCTGCGATTAGCAACAGTCCTCACAAAAATTCGCATACACGAATCATCTCAAGTTCTTTGTTTAGGTAGGCCCAAGAAAAAAAATCTTCAAATTGTTGCCAGCGGCTCGCTAGACGCAAATTTTTTTCATTAGTAAAGAGCAGACAGCAAACAAATTATTTATAAATAAAAAACAGCGATTGAGAAAATCTTTTTTCTCGTGTTTCCATTTGCAAATAACCGACAAACCCGTTGAGGCTCAGCAGCTGTGCGCGAAAAGCGAAGGCGTGTGCCAAAAAATAGCATACATATGTATATAAATATTTGGATGTATGCCGAAATATTTAAACAACTTGTTGAAATACAGTAAACTCCTTAAAAATGTTGTGACAAGCTGCGAAGTAGTAAATAATCGACTTGAAATGAGTGGAGCAAACACACAAATTAATTAAAAGAATTAATATTTTTGATTACCAATTAATCAAATTCGGTTTCTTTTCCTTTAATTTCTAGAAAAGTGTCAAGTGTTCAATAAAAAAGCAAAGCCAAAATAAAGGGGCATAAAATAGATGAGGCATATTTCAAATACATAGAAATATTCGAAAGTGAATAGAAAATGTTGAAACATATTGTAATGTATTTAGTCATTCCCCTAATCGTCGGCTTTGCCCTGACGAATGGCGCCAACTATCACCGGTCTTGGTCGTTAAATCTACCGGATAATAATTATCGTGACGTGAGAAATGTGACCGCGAGAGGCACTCTCATCTACAAATACATCAAGCCCACCGTGTATCCGACCTCGGCACCGGCACGGAGCAGTCCTACGGAACCCTACAGCTTCTACCAGGACCAAGACGAGGACGAGTGGGACGAGGGTCTGGAGATGGGGAACCACAAGCGCGTGCCACGGCATCCGCATGATAATTATAATCAAGTGGATGGCTCGCGCACCGGCTTTGATGAGGTAAGTTTGCCGAACCCACACACAGAGAGAGAGACTTCTTGGAAGTCGTAAAAACATATCCTCCTGCCCATGATGCTTGTTGACTCTGAATCCAGCGGGGATCTTACTGTATCTTTTATTATTATCTTCACTCTGACTTGCTCGCGCTGGGTGTGTGTTTGGAGCTGTGGTTAAATATTTGTCCGCTGGTTCTTATTCAACGAGGGCTGACAGCAGAATTCTGGGGAGAGTTCTGTTCCATTAAAACCGTAATCAAAAGAATCCTCAACTATTTTAGCTTCAAATGAAATTATATAAAACGGTTTACATCTGCCGAACAGATTTTAAAAGCAATTAAAGCATTGCTTTCACAATCACAAAAATGAGAATTAGATGACATAGTTTATTCCAAAAAGTATTTATTTATGTATAAGTACAAACAAAATATCTCTAAAAATATTTCAAATAATTTCGAAATTTTATAAATAAGCCTTAAAATAATCCTCCTTTAATTCCATTCCATTTTATTAGAAATATTCTAAAACAAAGTTAAATTTTCTCAGAAATTCCTATTAATTTCATTAAAATGTAAGAGAAAGATTTCCAAACTTGTTCAAAAGTCCCCTAAAACCAACTGATTGATCGACTCTCTGTTTGGGACAAGTTTCGAGTGTCTGCGCGAGTTGTTTGCGCATTAGAATCGGAATGAGATGCCTCACCTTGAACCTTGCTCGAAGCGTGAATGAACGAACGAACCAATGCGACTGACTCGAGTGAACGACTTACCCTGAGCCTCCCATCCAGTCCCGATCGTGAGCACTGATCACTGATCACAGAGAGGCACTCGGAACGGAGGAGCCCACCCAGTTGTGGATCGATAAGAAGCAGTTACACAATGCTGTGAATACTGGGAAAAGGTTCCACTCGCAATTATGAAACGTGTTGCGGCAGGTAGGAGCCACCAATTTGGTTAACAAGCCAATTTGGCTCTGCCCCTCAGATCGGTAGCCAAAAAGATACGTACATACATACATACATACATACATATATCCTTCTCAGTCAACGATTGATGCCATCGGTTTCACTTTCCGGCCTGTAATTGGGCCAGCCCAAGCCGCTCAATGTCGTGCCGAGGAGGGAAGGCGACAGAGAACCTGTCTCTGATATTCCAGGGCCGGCAGCAGCTGGTCAACGATCGCCACATACAAACAGAGACAATCACAGTGAGACATCCACAGAGACACTTTCAATGAGGGGAATTACAGGAATATCAGATCACAGAAAGGGCTACATAACTCTCCGTTATGCTGGTGGGCCAACATTAATTGGCCTAATTGATGCGACAAGCTGTAACTGCTTGTCGCCTTGGGCGCTTACAGGGAAATCGATTGTACCAAAGGGTGTACTGTCATCCACACAGATCACAGATCCCCTAATATACGATGATGAATATTGATTACTCATAATTGAGATGGTAGTAAATGGGATTTGATTTCAATGCACAGAATGAGTCACTTGTGAAGAATGTGCATTAATGTATGCATTTATTTAAATTTACATATACATAAGTACTGAGATCACGGAACTCTTAAGCGTGAACTGATTGTACATCCGTTGTACATCCGCACATTCTACAGATCGTACAAATGTATATTCTATGAAAATATGTACGTACTAATTGCACGCTTAAAAGAAGACTTTGCTAGATTTTGCTCATAAATGAGTTTGTAAATGTGATCAGATTGCCAATCTAACAAATAACCCTGAACTACATACATACATGTTTCAGCAATTTGTCACTCCATTCTCAGTCTGTCCATCTCTTTTTCTACTTATGCCAATCCATCGCTCGCATAGAGATAGCAAATACATATGTACACATATACATAGGTATATTTGTGACTAGCTCATAATGGTGAGATAGATCTGATATGATTTCATTTCTTACAAAAATAGCCACAACTAATAATTTAATTTCATTCTTAAACCTTATAAACCCAACCAATGCTCTGCAACACCTAACCAATAACGATAGAATAACTCTGTAAATCCCTGCCAATATACTCGTGTTTTGACACATCTGACATCTTGTTCGAGTTGATTATGCTGCATTATTGCAGTTCCATTAGTTGCCAGTTTCTGCTATGTACCATATACTTATTCACTCTTATCTGTTGCACACGCAACTATGTATGGAATCCAATGGCAAAGCTGATTTAATAAGCGTTCATAAATGCCAAGCCCCGTGTGGCAATATGTAGAGGAGAAGCATGCCCCTGTGCGTCGGTGAGTGACTGAGAATGTGTGGGGATGAGGCGACCTGATGCAGTGGGGCGGTATAAAAAGCTTATGGTCTGTGGTCATGAAATTACCTTACCACAATCCAGCTTTTTTCCCCCTTCCTGTGACCCTTTGAGAAAGGAATTTAATATCATATTTCTGTCCTTTGCCACACACACACTCACATATACACACACCGATGCGCACTCACCCAAACTTGCATCAATGCGCCTGGGGGCACTTTACCTTGCCACCCAATATCTGTGCACTTGTCCTCCGAATATTTTATATTACTGCCATACCACACCAGCCCACATCTTTCCATATCATTCCAACATCCCACATCCTCCCACACCTTTGCAGTCCCACCCATCACGTTTCCCACCAATCCCATTTCATTTCGTTTCTCCGTTGTGATTCTCCTCTGTTTATTCTCCTTTTTACTGGTTTGTTGGCCAACGCATAACGACGGGAGGGGCATAATTGTGTTGCAACTGCCGCCACTACCAGCAGCAGCAACGCTGCTAGCCTGTTTTCACTTTAACTCTCCTCTTATATTATTAGCAACACCACCACAAGAACATATTCCACCACCCAAAATCTCTACATTTTTAATGTTTTGGAATTTCCAATCAGAGACCCCGAATGTTGGACCGCCGAAAGGTTATCTCTCGCCGGCTGAACTTTTTCCAGCATGTAGTTTGAAGAGCTCTCTACAGCCATATATAGAATATAAAATATTTAAATACTAATGGGTCAATAATGAAAAAGCGAATTCGTTGGAAGGGAAATCGCTTTATACTAGTCTGAAGCGTACACATGCTTCATGTTTATCAATTAATCATCGGGCACTTTAATTGCTCTCAGCACAAGGTCATTAAAATGCAAAATATAGTATATACAAATACATATTGAATATAAGACCCGGTCTAGTCATTAGCATCTTGGCGCATACAGAATTGTACTATGTACAATCTCTATAGTTGAATGACTACAAAATGCCGTTTATCTTCAACAGAATGGGAATGGAAATGGAAATGGAAGGAGGTTATCTAAGGCAAATACTCGTAGGGAGAGTGTACAGAGAGCGGCCACAATGGATGAGTCGCGATAAGGCGCAATGATTGAAAGTTCATCAAACATTCGCCAGCGGTATTCGCGGAATAGACAGTGAATGGAATTGGGAACTCCTATAAATAATAAAATTTTTGGATTCGTTTCATTTAACTGAAATATAAAAGAAAGCGATAGAACGAAATAATCATCAAATTTTTACTAGGAATTTCGTGGACTAGATTAACAATGAAAATATTATTAAATTATATAAAAAAAATTGAAATCGAAAGGAACTCGTACATTAAAGGTCAAAAATACTTTCAGCCACTGAACCCATTCTGTCTTTTCAATTTTGTAGCTTATTTTGAAAACATATACTTTGTGGGAATGCCCCGTCATAAACAGAAATCTCTACATATATCGTTAAACTTTCACTTTTGTTCGGGATTGTACTTAAAATTAAATACACAAAATGTTCTCCACTATAAAAATCTTGACCTGCCGATTGCCACACTCGGTTGAGAGACGAAATCCGTTGCCACATCGATATACATACATATATATCTGTACACACGAGTATATACTCGTATATTTTTGTTAGTGCGTAGATATGTATGTCTAGGGGTAATTTTGATTTATTGGCAATCCTAATGTGGGGCGCTTTCTGGCACTAATGACAGGCAAATCGGCTTATGACATAATAGCAAACCGCTCAAAGTGGTTTCGGTTTTCCCTCTCGTAAATCCGCTACGATCTGGTCATGATTTATAGCTCAACCGAAAGTTAAAATATATAAAATGCGGAAGCCTTAAATTTATATGGCAAATCTATAAAGTTTTATATTATTAATTTCTATCGCTTTTCTCCCGAGGGGAAAGTGTTGGCCCAAACGCAGCAGCAGGCAATGGAATGTTTTGCGGAATGTGTAGGGGAACTTGTCGCCTGAACGTACAATAAATAAAAGGAAAACAGCTCTAAAGAGTTCACTTTTTGGCATATTTCGCTGATTTTGGCCATAATTTACTCGCCCAGACTGTGGGACTGTGTGAACTGAACTTGCTGCCTGATTGATCGCCGGCCGACCGACTTGTTGGCCATTAAACGAGAGCCGTGCGCCAAACAAACACGCAATTAAAAACCAACAACAAATATAAATCATGGCCAAGACGAAGTTTTAATACACTCACACTACAATCCGCCAGCATACCATGTCTCTCCACATAAATCATAGAAATCCCTTTGTTCTATATTTAATGCGGGATTTTCTCTCAGATGATGGAGCATGAAAGTAGTTCCAAGAATTTTCTGTGCAGATTTAAGTGTGATTTCTTTTTGAAATATTTTGTAACAAGGGGGTGGGGCAGCGACTTTATGCTTGATTGATGGATATGCTGCTGAAGAAATATGGAAGAAAAAATCTTTATTCTGGGCATTTAATGTATTTGAAAGTGTTTCAGGGATTGAAATAATTTGGATTGGGAAACCTTTTAAGGGAACTTAAACTTGATTTCTTTTCATTTTATTGGGAACTAAAAAGAAGAAACTTAACCAAAAGATTTTATAATATGTGAAATAAAATATGATTTATAATTTAATACAAAAATCTCCATAATGTTTGATAATAAATTTGATAACTTATACAGCATGCCTCACCTGAAAAGTGTTTAAATGTAAAACAATCCCAA